GATAACTTTTAGCTATTTAGATACATAATAAGTGGGCCTTTTTCTCTGGGCTTCACAAATGTTACAAGCCTGGCAGGGGGATGTAATTGAAGAGTACCAAATAGGCAGATATCACTTACTCTCGATGTTCTAGTGACTGTGAATTTAACAAAAATGCCATCTTGGAAGAGTCAGATACATATGAATAATTCATAGTAATGATTGGCTGGATTATAAGTGTTGAGGGGAAATGGCACGGGCTAAGCTGGAGAGGGAAGCAAGGACCAGATTATGAAGAGTCTTGTAAGCCATACTGTGGAATCTGGACTCGCCTGAGAGTCAAGTGGAGACATGGAAGGATTTTCAGTATGAGGCTGACATAATCAGACTGGTGTTTTAGAAAGATTAATCTAGCTGCAAAGCGGACTTAGGACAAGGGACAAGAAAGTGATAAGAACAAGTAATGAGTCTATTTCGGTATCTAGGTAAGAGATGAAGATGGTTTGGACTAGATAGAACAGCGATGATGAGAATGGAGAGAAATAAACAGATTATAGAATTATGTAACAGTAAGGGCTATAAGACCTAGTTAAAAAGAAATAGGAGTTAAGGATGATTCTCAAGTTTTTGGCCTGGGCAGTTGGGTAGATGGTGATGACATTCAATGCGAGAGGGAAGTGCGCTGGAGATTTGGGGGCCTTATAGAGAAAGGTAATGGATTCAGTTTGAATGTGTTGTGTTTGAAAGCCTGCAGGCACATAGTAAGCTTTTGGCACAACCTTGGCGCATAGTAATTTTGTGATATAAAAGAAATGAATAAATGAAGCAGTCAAACTTGTTAATTATACTTCAACTATTTTTATCTTGAGGATAGAAAAGATAAAGAACACTTCCTCTAAGGTCTGGGGAAGCCTAAATCAGTTGCTGCTCTCACCAATTCATGTACTTCTTTGTAGATTTGTCTAGAAATGAAGCAATGCTGTTAGTGAAATTTTATTTTTTCTAGACTTGCTCGTTGTATTAGGCAGGTTGTAATAAGCAATCCCAAAATCAGAGACTTAGTACAATAAAAATTGACTCACTTTTGTAACATTGCAAAGTCAGTCTGGTGATTCCCCTTGACAGATTTCCTACTGGCTCAGGGATTCTGGCTCCTGCAGTCTTATAAATCTGCCATCTTAGAGATGCGACTTCTGAGCGTGTCAAGTTAGATGATGGGACTACAGAAGTGCTGCAAATGCTTTAAGGGCTAGGCTTAGAAGTGGCTTACATCACCTCTGCCCATACTCCATGAGACCATGAGACAGAGTCCTATGGTCTCAACCCCATGTAGAGGGCCTGGGAAATCCAGACCCTACATGTGGCCAGGAACAGGAGGCTAGAATTGATGCCCATCTAACCAGTCTCCACAGTTGAAAATCAGAGAATTAGTTTTCAGGTAAGCGCTCAAATAACACAAACACAATACGAATAGTCAAAATTTGTACTCCCATTGCAGACTTACTGTTCACAGAATGAATCATTTATTTTGTAACTGCAAAATAAGATCATACTATTCTCTTTGCTCATTTAAGATACTTTGTCATTTGGATGCCAATGGTTTGCTTAATTCTTTTAGAGTAGTTCAGACCCTTATGCTGAAGATAATATTTAGTGTTTATTTTCTCCCACAATCAGCTTTTTGAGAATTTGCCATCATAACTACAGAGGAGAATATGGCAAACTGAAACAGAGACCTCCAAGAGAGGTATAATACAGATGCTTCAAGTTATAAAATCTCTAATTTCATTATTGAAAAAGTGAATAGTGTTTTCAGAGATAGTCTAATTAAATAACATGTGGCATAATAAATAAGACTGCCCAGAGTTCACATAATATCTTATGTATGCGCATTGACTTATTAGATTATCATGATCACCCTAATATATTCTATTTATTTGTCGTAAAAGCACCTAGATTTTCTATGGGGAGCTACCGCTCCTCACCTACTCTCAAACTCCTACTGTCTGGGTGGAGCTCACTCTATCTCCAATTTACGGGGTGGATGTACAGCCTAGACCAGGCCAATCAAACTTCACACCTGCCTGATTACAAGGAGTGATTTAGAGATAAACACAATATCCAGTTCATGCTAATCAGAGTCATTGCCAATCAATGACTGGACTACTATTATAACAGTCAAGAAGAAGACCTTCCAGTTCTGCACCTAGCTGGATATAAGCTGGAGTTGTTGGAGGCCATCTTGCCCTTGTGGAGAGCGTGCCTGAGAGTTGGGGGGAAGAAAGCAGAGCCAAGGTGTTGAGAGTGACGATCTTAGTCCATTCCGGCTGCTATAACAAAATACTGTGGACGAGGGGGTTTATAAACAGCAGAGATTTATCTCTCTCAGTTCTGGAGGCTGGGAGTCCAGGATCAAGGTGCCTGGCAGATTCGCTGTCTGGTGAGAACCCAGTTCCTGGTTCGTAGACATCATTTTCTTGCTGTATCCTCACACAGGAGAACGGTCAAGGGTGCTCTCTGGGGGCCTCTAGTCCTGCTCATGAGGGCTCCACCTTCATGACCTAATCACCTCCCAACGTCCCCACCTCCTAGCACCATCACACTAGGGATTAGGTTTTAACACATGAATTTTGGGGAGACACAAACATTCAGTCTAAAGCAGTGACTGAATCCTAGTGATGTTGTTTGAACCAGGACCGAGCCACACTGTCACAAGGCTACTCCTGGAGAGTCAATGCATTGCCATTTTGAGCTGGCTGTCTCTTATTTGCAACTGAAAGAGTCCTGTGCTTTTGATTGGGTCGTTACTATTTTCTCTATATTTTAGGAAAATAAACTGAGGTTTGGAGAGCTTAGGCAACTTGCTATAGCTCAGTCCACACTTGGTAAGGCCAAACAGAAAGGAAAATTGACTTAAAGGACAGTGCTTTAATTATGGTTTACTTCATTAAGATTCTTCTCAAGTTTTAAAACACTTTTCTCTTTCTTTTCTATCAAGACTTCAGATAAGTTTTCTCAGGATAGAATCATTCCTGCGCTGTATCTGGAAGTTCAGCCTTTCCAATATTTATTGGCAGTTGTTGTGTAGCATTTTATTATTATAAATATGAATGCTGAGTCATTCTCAAGAAATAAATAGTAAAGTTAAGCACTTTATGAGCCATATGATGGATGCATCTGCTACTGTTCTGTTCTGCACTTGAAATGAAATCTTTTCTACAGTTGAGCCCCAGGTCTGATCTAAAATCAACAGAGAATGCTTGAAATACTCAAATGTGTGCTGTTATGAAATCTAGCGGTTTTAGAAAAAAGCATGTATGTACTGTATACTTCAAAATAACTAAATAACAGTATTCTTAATGGGAAAAAAATCCCATTTTTTCCTGGAACTGTGAACGGAAAACTCCACTGCATACCATTCCAATTCAAGGATCTGTAATCTTAGACCATTGAAGAGTTCCTCTTTCCAAGGAATGTTTCTCTGTGTGGTTTCTAAACCTCCTGACTTTTTGCAAAAATTTAGCCTACCCTGGGAAGCGTAAGAGAAATAAAAGCATAGGAGTCCATAGGTCTTCTTTAGTTTCATGTCTGACACAGAGTTCTTCCATTGTAATCTGTCATATTCAGTCACACTCTTTACTTCATTGGGTTTTATTTCATCTTCAGAACAAAACAAAGCTATAAGATGGTGATAAGGAATTTTTCTTTCACAACAAACATGAAGACAAAATTTGCTAGGATTCAGTCATAGGAACCACAAAACTGTGTGGACAGCCAAGTTGCTAGGAATCCCATGTTCTACTCTACTCTTTTAAAAGTCAATAGTTATGATTCTAATCAAACTCCGTGGCGTTCCATATGGTGTTCACCTTTATAAGATTATCTACTCATTGCTTGCCTCCTTCTGATGCCCTCTGAACAACAACTCATGTGAATAAGTAGCTCAAACAGAGTCACAAACAGCGTAGAGAAAGAAGTTGTCCCCCTCTTTATGCACTGTTCAGAATGATCTGAAGCATCATTGAGGATGTCCTGAGACGGGTGCCCAGAATTTCCGCTCAGACGTTAGCCTTGTACTTGGGGTTAGGCAAACTAATCACTCTCTGAACCTCAGTTCCTTTAGCTGTAATAGACACACTAATGCCTTCATCAGGGATATGGAAAGACTAAAAGGTTAAATGTTCTTTTAAACTTTACCGTTTAGTCGGAAAAAAAACACAAACCACTGTAAATCTCTAGGCGCATTTAAGATATTGAAGATAATTGAGCACCAGTTTTTTAACTCCTCCCCTGACATAAAAATTATGGCAAAGATGTTTAAAATCCAAGCACTAACACAACTACAGTCACACACGCTAAATAACCTGTGACAAATTAAAGTCAAGTTACTAACAAGAGTAATTGTACAATTAAATTGTATTAGCTCTTGTAATTGTATACATGTACATGGACATACACAGAGTTCCAGTTTAAGTTTAGCCAAATGGAGAAATCAGATCTGAGAAAAATGCCCCTCCAGTGGGTGAAGATGTGGGAAGTGATTTCTACGGAAGTAGTCTGATGAATCATCACTCAACTACCACAGTTTCTTAGTTAATCTGAGATATTTCAATTAGATTCTTCCTGATTTTCACTTCAGCACAGCATCTCCGGGTAGGATCACTCCCTCCTCTCCTTTGCGCCCCCCCGCCCGCCCCCCGCCAGCATCCCCCACCCTGGTCCTGGCAGCTGCTAGCTAAACTGCCACCAGGAAAAACACTGCATCAGCTAACCACAAGAAGAGTCAAGTGGCAATAGGACGCAAATAAAATTGGTCTTTGTTAGCCACCATTTCACCTCAGTTTCTCGATTATTATCCTCTTCCTCCTAACGCTCTCCTTCTCCTTACCCAGATGGCCCCACCCTCCTCCCCAGGAGTCTGGTGTCTTCTGGCTGGCCGCTCAGCTGACCACTCCTCCTTGCCTCATCTGAAGGTTTCCCAGTTCCAAAATGATCACTACCTCTTTTTTTTTTTTTTCCAGCTTCCTTTCCCATCAAACTCACGTTCTCTCAAACCTGCTGATCTCAGAGAGTTGTCAACAGAAAAACCAACTATTCAAGCCTAAAGTGTGAGTAACTACCTTTTCCTTTCTGGGATTTCAAATTTTAAGTATGTTGACCCACATCCCCTACAATTAGTGACATCTCATGGAATCTAAAGGGGATTGAGGTTACACAGTGGGGAGAGGTAGGGACACAGACCTCTCTCCGTTCCTTTAACTTTCACCTCACGTGTGATGCTTCCTCCTATTTTGGTTAGGGCCAGTTTCTTGAGACTGCATTTATTTCTCAAGAAGGGTTACTGCTTAGGGATTAGCCGTCACTTCCGGCTGCCACCTTGAGCTTGACACGAAGAATGCAGCTTTGCTCATGGAGTATGAAAGCAGCTTGCAGAGTTCTGCTGATTGGCATAAAGCCACGAGGAAATAAAGTTTTTCATTCCTATGTGCACACACACGCACGCACGCACACACACACGAAGCAGCATTTCATCCCCGTTTGTGGGCGAACACAATTTCAATTGCGTTGGGCTCTTTTTCTTCTATCTAGTCTTAGAACAGAGAAAAACTACAGGTGTGATTGGGGCCTGATTAAATCCTGAATTGTCAACTGACAAGTGTAGATGCTACAAGCTTCAAGTTCCCTGGCCTTTGATTAACTTACTCCCTGGGGGTCTCAGAGAGCCTTGGGTAGAATGAATACTTTATGTAAATTTTATTATTTTTTGCTGAATATGTGAAGTTGCAGTGATTCTCTTTAGGGCAGTGTTCACAAATTGTTGCAATGTATTATTTTTGTTAATTGCTTTGTATAAATTTACATATTGGTAGAAATAAATGGCATGTATCGTTTATTTGATTTCTTTTTGCTTACACTCCTTACATCCCAGAAACCAGGAAGGTCGAAGTGTTCCAGGAACATCGAACCACATAGTCCCTCCATCTGAGCACAGAACTATGAAGGGAGTGAGAAATGTACCTAGTGTTCTCAAGAGCTAAAAATAAGGAGGGAGTAACTAAACTGCTTATGTGAAAAAAATCATGAGGCCGGTATCCAAAGAAGAGTCTCAAACTTTCTTCAACATGGATAGTCCACCTTTTGCTCCCACCGAATTACTAAAACAATTTACAAGTTGATTCACGAATTAACTTCTAACGGTCATGTTTTAAAGCCTCACGTTAGTCCTGATATTACACCGTGTACACGCTCTCTTATTGACCCTTGAACGTTGGCGTTCCCAGAGTTCTACCCATGGTCTCCTATCCTCACTCTTCTCCAGAGTTCTCAAAACGGACGCCCACAGACTGGGTACAGACCACAGATGTCTACTGTTTGGGCTCGACAGGACTTCAGGCAAATTTAAGAAACAGTATTTAAAACCTGAAGTTTTCACTTATTCATTTGGATTTTCCAGGTTCTTTTGAAAAATGGGAAGATCTGACAACACCAGACCAGCCTTTACGTCTATCAATAATTACCTGCAACTAAACAGAGGTTGCTCCCTAGAGACCGGATGTTTGCTCTCCTGTTGCTATAGTCCTCACCACTCCCTACTGCCTTAAATCCCTGGCCCACCCCCTTAATTCATTTACATGAGTGAGCACTTGCAAAGGCTCCTCATATACCTACGCTGTGTAATCCCATCCTTACTTGTGGTTTCAGCTACCTTACCCTAAATTTCTAACAGAGAACACGTTTTGGAACACTATACGATCTCTCGGTTCCCCTTAGATTACTGTAGGTGCCTCACTCTCAACATGTCCTAAACCAAACACATTATTTTTTCTCATTAACCACCAAATTTTCCCCTTCTGTAGTCCCTATACAGTTAATAGTGTCACCATCTGTGATGGTCAGTTTTACATGTCAACTTGTCTAGGCTATAGTATCCAATTATTCAAATAAACGCTAATCTAGGTTTTGCTGAAAAGATGTTTTGTAGGTGTGGTTGGTATCTACCATCAGTTGACCTTAAGTAAAGGAGCTTATCTTTGCTAATCTGAGTGGGTCTCATTCAATCAGTTGCAAAGCGTTAAGAGCAAAACTGAGACTTTCCTGAAGACAAAGCAAATTCAGCCTCAAGATAGCAGCATCAGCTCCTGCCCGAGGGCTTACAGCCCATGGGTCTTCCCTACATACTTCAGAGTTGCCGACACCCACAGTCCTACTGGTTCTGTTTCTTTGGAGAACCCTGACTGATATCTCATTTATTTAAGCAGCCATGCTGAAAATCTAAGAGACTTCCTCAACACTTTCTCCTCCTTATGGCTTTCATCCAGTCATACCTCTTTAAAATAGTCTTCAAAATAACGATCAGATGTCCTCTTGTAATTCTATAACTCTGTCCCTACTGACTAGAGATCAAAGTCCAAACTCCTAAGTAGGGTACCCATGGCTGTTCATTTCCTGGTCTCTGGCTACTTTTCCAGACTCAGTTCTTGCTGTCCTACCCTCTTCCCTTGTACCTACCATCTGAACGGAAATGCTTCCGTATTTTTGAAGACCCCCTCATATTTTATTCCTCTATACTCATGCTGCTCCTTCAATCTCAAATATCCTTACTTATAGAGCACTTGGCATAAATCTACTCAACTTTCAGGACTTAGTTGAAACATTTGGCTCCTAGTGAATGCACATTTAAAATATCTAAGGAAATTTCTCCACCCTCTTCTTTCCCAGTAGAATTGATCAATTCTGTCTTTGTACCCCAGCTGCCTCTTGCATATTTCACCCAAGTATGGCTACAATATAGGACTTTATTTCATTTGTTTATTCATGTGTCTGTCTTGCTCTGTTAAACTGTGAGGCCCAATTTATTACCTAATTTAGTAGACTCTTATGGCAACAATTGCGAATGACCCCTCAATATCCATTCTCGCTTCTTCCACGATAGTAGAACTTCTCGCTAGGCGCGTGGCACCCAGAACAAAGACTACATTTTCAGCCTCCATTAAAACTTGGTGTGGCTATGTGACTGAGTTCTAACGAATGAACTCTAAGTGAAAATGTCCTGTGCCAGCACCCAAGAACCTTTCATCAGAGGCATCTGACACTGGTTCTTTGCCCCTACATCCTTGCTTCTTCCAGCCTACTCCTGGGAACATGGATGTGATGACTGAAGTCCCATCTTGGTTCTTGAGGAAAAGGTTTCTCTTGGCACAGTAAAGGGGAAAGTTGCAAGGATCCTGGGTCCCTGAGGACTTTTTTTAGAGCAATCAGTATGCCAGCCCTACGTTACTCACCTCTGTACTTTTACTCAGGAAAGAAATGAATTTTCACCATATTTAAGCTACTGTTTCAGAGAAAGCAGTTCTATTACTCACAACCAAATATAATCCTAACTAATATATGAACAGTTATGGTAATATCTCCAATTGACAAATCAGCTGTGATGCGTAAAGATTTGTTACTGGGTCCAAGTCAGAGAGGGGCTGATAATCTCGGAAGCGAGCTGGCTGTGTTTGGGTTTAAAGCTGGGGTCCACTGTTTGCGTATGGTCTTCCTGTTGTTTGTACAGGTATCTTCTGCACTTCAACCTATGGACTTTGACTTAGTTTCAGTTCCGGTCCCTGGGGAACCCAGTCTTTGACGTATTTTGCTCTAGTTGGCCAGTATCTGACTTCCCAGGCCAACTCCGTCTCTTACAACCAGGAGTGGGTTAGCAAATCAAACAAGGGGGAGGAATGGCTAGATTAGAGCCAAGATTGCGGTGAGATAGGAGGCTGTGAGCTGAGCAGAGAAAGTACCAGCAGTGTAGCAAAGGGTTTGAGCCTATGCGCTGGTGCACTTAGAAAGCAAGACTAGATATGCCAGACTCTTGCTAGGGGATCTGACTTACTTTTTCAAAGGTCATGTTTATGCCCAGATGAATTATGACTCTTTTCCAACATGGGTGTAGGAAATAGACACTTTTAGATGTACTTGTGGGGGTATAAGTTGGAAAAAATTTTAGAGGGCAACTTGACAAGTTCCTTAGATATTTTAAATGTGCATTCACTAGGAGCCAGAGATTTTTTAAAAGGGAAGAAGGGGTTCAGAAGAAACACTGGAAACCTGTGTATTTATTGTTTCATATTGTTCAAGATGTCCTACATATGCAATAAGACAAATAGACACACACTCACATATCTACTCTATTCCCAACAGTAACAAGAACTAAATTTAACAAGAAATACATAAAACTCGTATGACAAAAACTGTATAATTTCATTGAAGTTTATATGAAGGCTGAAACTCTCTTTGATGATGATATTATTCTCATATATAGAAAGCAAAGAGAAATAACTGATAGTTTAACATTATAGTTCAGTAAGATGGCTAGAAATAAGGGAAATATGTAGAATTAATTATATACATCAGCAGTACTAATTAGAGAGTGTAATGAGGCGAAAGACAGAAATTCAAATCAATGAATAACTGATGGATTAATCAATAAGTACTTTTGGGAAAATTTGATAGCCAAAAATAGGAAAAAATACGTATATTCTTTCCTTACACAACACACACACAATCCAGATGATTAAAATTTGCAAATAAAGAATTTAAGAATAAAATATGGGAGCACTAAAACAAAAAACAGGAGACTGTTTCTTGGTGTGGAAAAGGCCTTTTGTGACCGCCAGTAAAAAATCCAAAAACTAAAAAGGCAAATATTGACAGTTGATTGCATAACACTAGAAACTTAAAGACTGTGGAAAACTTGGCCAGCAAATGACAGCCTGAGAGAAATTAGTTGTGACACATTTGAAGGGTTGAGTATCTTTGTGGCACTATAAAGAATGCCCACATATCTGTAAGAAAGAGTCGAACTCATTAGGAAATGGACATTGGAACTAGGAAAAGAAATTAGGAAATAGGCAAAGAAAATGAAAAGGAAATTCACAGAACAGACATAAATGAATAACAAACATGGGAAAAGTTGAGCAACATCACTGAATAGAATACATAGAAAGTGAAACAAAATGAAATGTAATCTAATATCTCTTAGGCTCACAAAGGTTAAAAAAGTTTCTATCAATACGAAAAACAATAAACACTTCAACAGAAAAATAAGCAAGGAAAAAAATAACAAATTTTATATAAAATTTGTATAACAGAGATGAAAAAGATGAACAAACATGATGAAGCAGAACAGAGAAAGTAAAGTGTGTTTGCTCTCCCTTACGCCGACATCAGCCTTTTGGTTTTCTTATCCCACGGATTTTTCCAGATTTGACAGTCAAAGTCTGCCTGGCTTTTCCCTTCAGTTGTCTACAAACTGAACTTAGGGACAAGATGACATCTGGCTTCATAGAGAGGTGGGGCACAGGTGGAGAGTAAGACAGAAATAGCGACAGACAGATGAGGAGAGAGACAGCGTGATTTACAGGGAAAAGGAAGAAGCCTGAGGCTCAAAGCACCATGAAAGCAGCAGGACTTGAGCCCCCACGGGGGCTGCATCTTGAAGAGTCTGGACACCAGCTGCAAGTTCACGGCCTTTTAAAGATCCTTAAGCATGGCGTATAAACAGCAGACTCATCAGACGCCAAGGAACCGTGAGGCCTTGGAGAATGAGCATGTCTATAGTAGCCTTGTGGGCAGGAGGCGAGAGTGAGCTCTCTGCTGCACTGGAATAGTTATTTCTGTTTGTTTGTTTGTTTTAATTTTATTGAGATCATCTGGGCTTTTATCATTGTGTACATTTCAGGTGTACATTATTATAGTTCAGTTTCTGTGTAGACTGCATCGTGTTCACCACCAATAGGCTAGCTTCTATCCATCACCTTACCCATGCGCCCCTTTACCTCTTTTGCCCTCACTCCAACTCCTTCCCCTCTGGTAACCACCAGTCTGTTCTCTTTGCCCATGTGTTTGTTTATCTTCCATGTATGAGTGAAATCATTAGGTGTTTGTCTTTCCCTGCCTGGCTTATTTCACTTAACATCATACCCCCAAGATCCATCCATGTTGTGGCAAATGGGATGATTTTGTGTCTTCTATGGCTGAGTAGTATTCCATTGTATATATATACACCACATCTTCTTTATCCATTCATCAGTCAGTGGGCACTTGGGTTGCTTCCATGTCCTGGCTGTTGTGAATAATGCTGCCATGAACATAAGGGTACATAAATCTCTTTGAATTGTTGATTTCAAGTTCTTTGGATAAATACCCAGTAGTGGGATAGCTGGATCATATGGTATTTCTGTTTTTAATTTTTTTAGAAATCTTCATACTGTTTTCCATAGTGACTGCACCAGTTTGCATTCCCACCAGCAGTGCATGAGGGTTCCCTTTTCTCCACATCCTCTCCAACATTTGTTACTTCTTGTCTTGTTAATTACAGCCATTCTAATGGGTGTGAGGTAATGTCTCATTGTAGTTTTGATTTGCATTTCCCTGGTAGTGATGTTGAACATCTTCTCATGTGCCTGTTAGCCATCTTTATATCTTCTTTGGAAAACTGTCTTTTCAGATCTTCTGCCCATATTTTGATCAGGTTGTTCATTTTTTTGTTGTTGAGTTGTATGAGTTCTTTATATATTTTGGAAATTAACCCCTTGTTGGATACATGATTTGCAAATATTTTCTCCTAGTTGGTGGGTTGTCTTTTCATTTTGTTGATGGTTTCCTTTGCCTTGAAGAAGCTTGAAAGTAGACCATTATCTTATACCATAGACAAAAATTAACTCAAAATGGATTAAAGACTTGAATGTAAGACCTGAAACCATAAAACTCCTGGGAGAAAATATAGGCAGCATACACTTCCACATTGGTCTTAGCAATGTCTTTTCAAATACCATGCCTACTCAGGCAAGGGAAACAAAAGAAAAAATAAACAAATGGGATTACATCAGACTAAAACACTTCTGCTATGCACTAGAATAGTTTTAAGAACCCCCAGGGACTTCGCAAAACCTTGTGGCTTGGCACTGGGGACAGGTTTTGGGGAGATCCCCAATTAGGGCTATAATTTAGTCCCCTCTCCCACGTCAACAGAATAGGCCACTGAGTCTAAT